ATTCATTGTGATCAGGTTGAGGCCAATATTATTCTCTTAAGCATTTCATCGAACATGTGGTGGACCAAAGAAAAGTCCAAGCTAGCGACATGAAAATTTGAAATCCCACATATCTTATACAACCGATAGATGAAAACTTCACCCCAGCTATCCCTGAGAAAGGACGTGGTATATATATATCGATGATTGGAGCACAAATTTACAGATTCGTCACCCCAGTACAAGGCATCTTCGTGTTCTTCAAATTAGCAGGAGGCTGTATTTTTTTGACAATTTGATTCAACAAATAAAAGAAAATAGGTAAACACTATACCTGGATGAAACGATGATGTTACAATAGGTGGCAGTAAACGATTCAAAGAAGAAACATTGAACAGACAAAACAAAAATTCCCCAATCTTGTAGTTTTGATTCGAGGTTGAAACGACTTACGGAAAGCAAAAGGAGATGAAGCCGGTATATATTGAATTCAATATCGATCCTTCAAAACCACAGCATGAGGTGGCAACTGGAGGTCTTTAATAGAGGGTGACTCGACAAGGAAGCATAAGCGGAGAGGGCACGTTGCATCTGCGCTTCAAATAAAGCAGTAGGTGGCAAGCAGCTTTCCGGATACACCACCGACAAGATGGGAATGTGAATCAACAACACCTCGCTTGAGACAGGCAACAAAGGTTCTGACCTCCAAATACGTTAAAAGAGGCCGCCCAGAAACCTTTCGATTGGTGGAGGGAAGTAATAGTCTACGTGGACCAAAGTTCAAACCTTTAACATATAGGTATCCAAAAGCATAAATGTTCTATGGTTCTATGGGTTTGGATTAGTTCTATAATGATTCTTCATATATTATATATATATATATGAAGAATCATTATAGAACTAATCCAAACCCATAGAACCATAGAACATTTATGCTTTTGGATTAAACAATCAATGGCTTAGATAACTAAGGTGCACAATAAAAATGTACGTCCTAATATATTGAATCAAATACAAAGTAAAATAGGGATATTATGTTTTTTGAAATCGAGTCAAACTTACCTAATCATCAGCCAATATAATTACGCATTCCACTATTTACGTTTTTTTCTCCCCCTTGATGTCTATATCTCTTCAACCCCACCATCGTCATTCGCAAACATCCCTACAAGACCCATTTCCATCTTCGTTCATCATCTTCCTTTCCTAGTGACGACTCCGCAATAGACACCGACTGCCACAATCAACGCCGCCCTGTTTTCTGCTCTGCTGACACACACACATTTTGACGATATTGATTTATGTCTACACTTCTACGCCAACTCGAATGCAGACACTTCCTTCATATGTCTCTTTTTCTCTCCTATTTAGTATTTCTTTCCTTCTCGATTCTCTATCTTATTTTGTATGATGTTCCAGTTTAACATATTTCAATTATTTGGGTTTGTAAGATGTTTTGTTTTGTATTTTTTATTTGAAAATCAAAAAGAGAGAAAATATTTGAGTGTTTATACACATATTTTTTTTGCTTAATTTTCATTTGTTAGAATTTTGCCTTCGGTGCTTTTCTATTTCTCCTTAAGGATTACTGTTTAACAACTCAAATTTTCGGATTTATTAGCACAACATAGGTATGTCTTGAAATTCTTGCTATTTATCCTTCTACTTTGCTTTCTTTTGCTGCTTCATTGCTTGATTTTTTTGACATAAATTCGTTTTCAGAGGGGTCTCTTGTTGTATAGATTATGTTTTTTGCCCCTATTTTGCGTTTTTCATGTGCTTATTGTTGCTATTGTTTGATTGAAAGAAATCAAATTACATGAGTCCTTTAAATGTAGTACTTTCAAGGGTACCTTGTAGATTGATGCATCTGAGATTTAGGTGCACACCAAGTGTTCGTGAAATATCCACAAAGAAGTAGTTTCCATACAACCTAATATGGCATAGTCCCCTACAGTTCCTTAAGCAATCTGGTAATATCCATGTGAAATTGTTTTCATGGGAACTGAAGTGAGTAACCTTGACTTTGTCAACATCATTCACTTGTCACCAAGTGTTGTCTCTTTCAGGTTGAGAATTGCTAGTGAAATCAAAAGGCTAAAGTCATATTTTGCTCATGCCAAGGTCTTTGAACTACATTCTTGTGATGTGGGTGAGGTTGAAAAGTCAAATAAATGAAATTTTGAAGGTGCAAAAGTGTTGGATGAAAGAATGAGAAAACGGAAGTCGGCGGTTAGTAATATTTTTAAGAATTTATAGTTTTGTTGGCAGTCAAAGATTTATTTAGCCATCTATAATGAAAGAATATAGTTCACTTTTGTTCTACATATAATAGTAGTACTTAGTGAAGTTAATTTTTTTTAGCTGTAGTTCAATTTTTGGGTTTTTGTATGAATGTTCATAACTGAACATATCTATGTTAAAAAAATGAACGTTAATATATTTGATAATCATGTATGATGGTTATAGTTATGCATGTTCAGTATTAATCATGACCAGTTTTTGAGTTTTTGAATGAATGTTTATTTTTGAACATAGACAAATTGCATATATATTTGATATTCATGACTGATTGTTATTTACATACATGTTCAGTATTCAACATGAACAATTTTTGGGTTTTTCTATAAATGTTCATATTTATAAGTGAACATGTGACGATGCACACATTTAATATTCATGTCTGATAGTAACTTCATACATGTTCAATTATGAACATGTTTGATTATGACTAATTTATGGGGTTTTTGTTTAAATGTTCAGTTATGAACATTAATCTGCCAACAAGTTATGTATATATACGTATGTTAATAAAGGGACATATATGTATGTTTAGAAATTCACATAAACATGTAGTATAGGAATCTCCTTCTATTTTGCATAGTAATTAATTAGAGATTAATGAATTCTAATTTTCAGGGGATTTAATAGATTTTATTATTTTTTTAATTAAATAATATTTTATATTTTACCATCATACCCTTAAGAACCCTCCTTAAGAACCCTAATATGATCCAAGGGTGAATTAGATGGTTCTATGGTTCTATAGATAATTTTGGTTCTATGTTGATCTCACCAATATATATATATATATATATATATATATATATATATATATATATATATATAGGTGTAGGGAATATACATTATAACATCACCTAAGGCTAGGTACTAAACCTCTAAATTGTGTTTTTTTTTAACTTAGTAAATATACCTGGTTCAATTTTCACTTGGTAAATATTAGGGCTGTAAACGAACCGAACGAACACAAACAAAGCTTGTTCATGTGCGTTTGTTTAAGTTAACCGAACAAATGAACGAACATGAACGATTAAACGAACGAATTTTCGTCTTCATGTTCGTTCATTTAACAAATTACATTGTTCATGTTCGTTCGTTTATGTTCGTGAACATGCTAAACGGACATAAACAAACGGACAAAGATAAACAAACATATATGAACATATAACATAGTGATGTAATCAAACACAATTAAACACACATAAAGATAAAAATGAACTTATATGAACGAACATAAACAAATGTATACGAACAACATAAACGAACGTTCACGAACATAATTGAACGAACGAGACCATTGTTCATGTTCGTTCGTTTAACTAAACGAACGAGAATTCGTGTTCATGTTTGTTCATTTATTAAATAAACGAACGTAAACGAACTTCCCGCCGAACGGTTCATGAACAGTTCGTTGAACGTTCAGTTCATTTACAGTCCTAGTAAATATACCATCTCCCGTAACATTTATTTCTTCCATTATCCTTTAATTCAAGTACCAATCACTCTATTGGCAACAATGAATAATGAGAAGAAACTCTTGTGGAAAAAACTTGTTTCAAGAAATCACGTAGTATTTTAGGAAAGATACGATTTGTTAGGATATCATGTAGTATTTTTTTTCCTGGAAAATCATTAGCTAATAAAACGACGTAGTTTCATGAGGTTTAGTACCTAAGTTTAGGTGGAGTTGTAATGTATATATATATATATATATATATATATATATATATATATATATATATATATATATATATATATATATATATATATATATATATATATATGTTAAATGCAATAACATTGACATAAATTTAATAAACATGATAAGATGATGAAGTGACATGAATATGGAGTGGTCGCTACTAAAAGACATTTGTATTAACTATTACATCCATTTTAAGGACCAAAACATATATAACATGAAAATGACTTCCTTTTTGCAACCCAAATAGTCCACAAACCGCACAAAAAATAATTAGTATAATTTTTTATTTCTTTTTTGGTATCTATAAGATGGAAAGGTTGCAATACCAAAGAAAATATTTTTAAGTAAGTTTGTATTTTAGACAACATATTTTCTTATATGATAGAATTTAATCTTTGTTGATTTTGGTCGAAAGGTTTATGTAATCATGTAATGCCAAAATTATAGGCGTGTTGACAATGAAGTTATAATAAAATACAAGAGTAAATTACAAATTTGGTCATGTTGTTTCACTACAAGAAAAAGACCCTTTTACGACGCGCAAACCACGACACTCATTGATTTATGTTACGCAAAAGAGAGTGACATTAAAAAAGTGTCATATCTTCAAAAAAATTTAAGGATTTAGGTCACGCATTATTGCGTTGCCTTAAATTAGTGTCTTATGTAAAAAAATTAAAAACACGGAGGGCACTTGTGCGTCCTCTGTGAATGTCGTTGTATATTTTGTTTTAAGTAACGCGCGTTTCCTTAGAGGGAAAATCAAATCCCCAAATTTTTTAAACCCCCGCCTTCCAAATCGATCCTCACACTAAATGGTTCGGCGACTGCAACTCCTTTCAATTGTAGCGCCGATCGACAACTACGACCGTCAAAGCTACCAGTTGAACAACCCCTAATCGACACCTCCACTTTCTCGTCTCTCCTTCTCCACGAGGTTTCTTTTACGCCGGGAAATTTTGTAACTTATATTTTCCTTTACCGTTTTCTTTTACTTTTTCTATAATTATCTCACATGACAAACCCCCCCCCCCCACCTGTTTCCAAACCCTTCTTCTCTCTCCAACGAAGGACATCACCGGCGACACACCTACGGCCAGTCACCGGAGCTTTGTTTGCATCGGAAAATATATCTACTATTCCAAAAAGTCTTTCAATCGTGGATCCTAGTCTCAAGAATAAATGGAAACAATGGATGCACCCGTTCCGGAAGTTCGAACCGAAGGTGAACCTGCTGTTGCATAGGAATTAGGGCAAAATGTTGATCAGATCATCGTAAAGGTTGATGAGGTACGCTTTTTGTTGCTGAATCTTTCGATTGTATAATTTCCCCAGTTTATATACACTCCATCTTCTTAGGTTACATAAGAATGACGTATGGTTGAGTCAAATAAAGAAATAGCGCCCGAGAAGGTAAAACTTCATCTTTCATTCTTTTCTGCTTCACATGTCTAGTAAACATTTTGAGGCTTATTCTGCAGGAAGTGGTTATCATGCACTGGTCTTGTTCAAAGCTCACAGTATCATCAGCAGTTCCTGATGCTACTCTCCTTGAAATTTTACTTGATAAGGTTTGTTCAAAGTTTTATAGGATTAAAGTACACTAAAAAATGTCAATGGCTAACTTTTTGGGATTTTTCAATTAAAATTGTGCAGAAGCATTTCTTATGCTGCAGTTGTTGCTCATGCAGATCAGACTAGCAGGAGGAAATTAGCTGGTATGCTTGTTGAACATGAACCTCTCTCCTCAAAGCAGGTTTAGGGTTTATTACTTATATATGAAGTTGAAAAATTCAATATATGCAAAATTGAATGAATGATATAGTATATAATATGATTGAATATCACTTTTCCAGGTTCCTCTGTTACTAGGCATTAGGGAAGAAGATACAGCCCTGACTAAGGCAATTGAAAGTGGTGATACTGATCTTGTTTATCTTGTTCTCTTTCATATATGGCAGAAGGTATTTATTGTTTTCTTATTTGATTAATTATAAAATAATACTAAAATTAAGTTCTCAAATTATTGGCTTGTATAGTGACCAGCATTGGAATTATTTGGAATGATACAAGCTAGACCTATTGCACGCGATCTATTCATACGTTATGCAAAGGTAAAGGCTATATAAGTTTTTCTATTTAATTTCATATGAGAATATGAAGATTTTTTTTTGATGAATGTGTCTATTATTTCAGGTGCTATAAGCATGAGTTTCTCAAGGATTTCTTTCTTTCTACTAGTCAACTTCATGTAAGGGCCCGTTTGATATCTTGCTGACCGGGTTCGGTCAGCACTTTTTGACTAACTCGGTCCGGTCAGCCCAATCAGCATGTTTGATACCCACAAAAAAATTCTTCTGACCCGGTAAATAGTAGCTGACTCGGTCCTATTAAAAAATGGAGCTGACCAAGTCTCTTATGCATGTTTCTCATTTTTGCCCTTTGCCTTCTCCATCGCCTTCCCCAATCTCAATAACCTCTGTTCGTCGACAACTTCCTCCATTGAACAACCCTTCTGCGATCTCCGTCCTCACTCCTCTCGTGTTTCTCGATCGTCTTCAGCCTCACCGACCACCTCTTCCATCGTCGTCCTCTCCAGCACGACCCACCTGCTTCGTTGCCATCTCTCTTGTTCTCATTCCCATCGCGATGAATGCAAACAAGATTTCACCCCCATTTCTGTTAATCAAGCTGCAGGTATAATTCTCTTTACTTTTTTTTTTCTAAAAATTTATCAATATTTCTTTATGTATCTACTCTCTCCCTAACTCATTCCGAATCGATTGCAACTGCCCTAGCCCCTTATGTTGATGAAAGATTGGTTGTTGATCAATTTCGCGCCTACTGTTGAATATCATTGCCCTTTATTGTAAGATATGGTTTCAGATTCATGATGAGATATTGGCTTCTCTTGATATATTTTCCTTTTGCAATTTGGTTTTTTTTGCAGATACATAAACCATGAGCGTGCATTATAGTTCATAGTTCACTTGGGATTTCTCCTAATTGATAATCAAGTCTGCATTCATCGGTGTTCATTTAGCTCATTACTTGTAACCTTACAGGAGGTGAATCAAGTATCTTGATTTAAGTTTTTTTTTTTTGTTTGATTTTTGTAGTTGGATAGGTTCATACCAAGAAAATAGATTTATTTTATTATTATTATTATTATTATTTTTGTAGTTGGATAGCTTCTGTTTAGACCTTGAGTATGCAAACATATTCAATGGGTTTTGATTTTGTGGGGGAATTTGCGATTAAAAGTGAACAATGTGGTGGAAAAGGTTAATGAGCAAAAGGACCCGATGGTTTTGCTATCTAGGTTATTGCAAAGAAATTTATGAAAAAGCTATATTTTTTCTTTTTCATACGTGCACTACATAGCAATTTACTTTAGTTTGTTGGTTAGTTTCTTTTTAAAACCTACACTAAATGGCAATGTACTTTTTTTGTTCTTTTGTCATACCACTAAAAAATATAATAGAAGGGTAAAATGGTCATTTTCAACAGTCAGCACAACTAGTCAGACGCATAATCAAACAGCATGGTTTCAGTCAGATGTAGATTCAGTCAGACTTCAGACCCAATCAGGCTCTAACTCAGTCAGATCTTACTCAGTCAGAAACTATCAAACAGCCCCTAAGTCTGTTTTGATAAACACTGAGATTTGATTTGGTAAAACAAAAGTAGAATTTTGTATGTAATTAAGTGTTGTTGAATGTAGCATGTTGCCTACTTGTTGTGGAAAGAATCATGGGAATTAGCAAAGAATCCAATGGCAACTAGAGGATCTCCACTTCATACTCCACGTATAAAACTCATTGAAAAAGCTCAAAATCTTTTTGCTAGCTGAAACTAAGGAACATGTTTTTGAGTCAAAAGCTGTTGAAGAACATGCTAGATTATTACGGTATGACATGTTTTTAAAAGTCCAAAAAACTCTTAACTTACTAAATATTAATTGTGATCATCAGATTAGCTGGTTACAGATGCCTATTAGTTAAAACTTTCATTCTTTAAACATTTTATATATTGTATATAGCAAGTTAGCAACTGATTGCACGATAAATAGATAATTTTTCATCTCTTGGTTGATGTGGATGCCAACTTAATATGATGTTTTTTTATACAATTTGTGTTTCAGATACAGGGGAAAGCTTCAGAACTCAGGCATTTATGGCGGTGGAGGTTTCTAACCCATACTCATCCTTATAATTGAATTATTGTTTCTTTTTTATTTTACTTAATAAACTAAATGTGGACTAGTCTTAATCTACTAAGCTATATATGAGTGTTTATTATAGCATCCTACTTTCATTTCATCTTATTACATATAAGAAGGTTAAATGTAAGAAATAACATAATATACTTTGATTTCTCAATATGTGAATCTAATGGTTGCATGATTCAAATTTACAGGTCTTGTTGATGTACGTAGTGTCAAACAAAGTAGCTCGGATTTTGTAAAGGTGGTGACCAAGTTCTTGTGGTTCTACTATTATTTGTTGATGATTTTCATCTCCTTCACACTTGATATTACATTTATTACTATTAAAACGATTATTTGTATGACATTTAATTTTGTGCAATGGATTGTATTTTTATATATGATATTTTATTTTGTATTATGAGACATTAAATGTTAATTTAATTTGAAAATTAGTAAATCTATAAAAATATATATTTTTTGAAACATTTAAGATTATGACACGCAAAAATGTGTGTCATCTTCCTTTATGACAGGGGATTTAATGATACGCATTGCGTGTCGTAAACGTGCGTCTTAAGGTTACGACACGCAAATGCGTGTCGTCTTCCTTTATGACAGGGCCTTCCTTGATACACATTGCGTGTCGTAAATGAGCGTCGTAAATGCATGTCGTAACTGCGCGTCGTAAATGTGTGTCGTCTATAGACGACGCGCAAAAGCGTGTCGTCTCTCGTTATGACAGGGCCTTCCTTGACACGTATTTGCGCGTCGTCCGAGCGTTTTACGACACACATTGCGCGTCGTAATAGGCTGTTTTTCTAGTAGTGTTTATACCAACCTATACTTTTAGTCTAACTTATGAGTTTTTGATATAGCTCATCCATATGGTTTCTAAAACTTGCATTCATGGTCCTTATGCCTAGCACCGTTAGAATTTTCTATTAAATCTATTGTTAAAAGACTTTTATACCCTTGTACCAAATTTAATAAAATACATATACTTCGAGGACCACTTTGTAAATTCTATGTAAAGAGACTAATAATACTCTAAGTCGGTAGTAGTCGACGTTGTTCTCCTAAACCCTTAAGGAACTATTTCTCGGGCCCACTGGTAGCTACTCCACCTCCCTAATCGCCACCTCGTTACTGGCCACCACCTCTGCCTCTATCGCCGACCACCACCTCTACCCCCTTCTTCTTCCTCTTCTCTCCTACATTAACACATCGCAACCTCTAACTTCCATCATCGACCGACATATATGTTTTTACTACATCCAAAGCATCAACGTTCCTCCACCATCCTTCACTTTTGTTGCGAGCAGGAATGTTTAAAATGCATGCCATATCATGTCTATAAACATCAGGTTCCCCCAAATCAATAAACTCCCGCCGCTTTTCTTCTTTTTGACCAACATATTATGCAATTACACGTGCTACCCCACCCACACACCGGAAAACACCCAAAATAGAGGTAATAATCATTGAATCGGATACCCGATTGTTGATTTTATGTACAATATCAAGCTTAAAATATTGAAGATTAGCAATGTCATTTAGTAGTAAGGTAAGAACATGTACATAACTGGGGTTGCTTGAATATCATCTATGAAGTTGGAACCCATGTTTTCACCGGATACTACTTTTGTTGCCATGGGGCAACTAGAGAGGTATACTATGAAGTTAGATTGTTCTATGAAATTACTCTAGGACTATGGAAGTGACTGGTTGTTTCTTAAATTTTGGCATATCTCATATATCAATGAACGTTCATGATCGATCAAATCATAGTGTGACATGGATGTGTCATGAATTACATCCACCTCATTGCATCTAAAGAAAGGATTAAACACCACATTATATGATTGTTCTGGTGCACTATTTTGATTGATAGTTATCTTTCCCACATCGATATACAAGAAGTGTGTCTCGTCTTATAGTTTTGTGTAGTCAAGTGTGATGTCTTAGCTAGGGGTGTTTAAAAATACTTGTAATGTCCCAAATTACAAACTAAAATTTTCATTTAAAAACTATGATAAGCATTCAATTTCATATTCTAAAAACATAATGTATTAACGGTTTATTCAAATGTAAGAGGTTAACTAAGTTGAATTGTAAAAACTAGCGGAAGACTGCAACAACAAACCGCGTAGCGAATGTACATCTACGTTGCGCCCATCACCTAAATATACCACCATACATACAATGCATACAAGTATTGGCCTTTAGGATGAAGTTGGTCCTCCCCTTTGGCCTTCAGCATAAAGTTGGCCCCGCCCCTTTAGCCTTCAACATAAAGTTGATCTCAACCACTGATATCCTGATACATAGGAGAATATAAACCCACACAACATTCATAAATTTCCAACACCCATGCATTTCGAGAAAAATGATAATTAATCCATTCATAACAAGAAATCAATTTAAACAGAGCTAATAAGATAATTCCATTCAACTGATCATCCAAGATTACAACTGAACTTTGAAGCACAAACAGGAATTACAGATGAATACCAATAATGCAACAATTTCTAAATAGAAGAAATGATAAATCAAACCTCGATCTTCGGGACTTCGACTGTCCCATGGCGACTGTCGGGTAACTGCCAAGCTAGGGGTGCAGGGTCCAACACCTCACCAAAAACGAGAAAGGGACAACGAGCTCTGATGTGGCCCTCCTGGACGCAATGGAAACAAGCCCGCGAACTCCACCTACAATTCCTACCAAAATGACCCTCATCGCTACACCTGCGACATACAAACGATCGACACCTCCCATCATGAAACTTCCCGCACTTGCCACACTCGGAACTCCTCCCCTCATCTGATCCTGAACCCAGGTCGGTGGATTTGACCCGCTTGACTACCGGCTGATACTGTCCTGAAGCTATTCCCTCCTCCTTTTTCTGAATCTCCAACTCAATCTCCATCCTCCTAGTGCTTAACTGCATCTCGATCAAGGTCTGGTACTGCTGAGTAGATACAAACTCTTGAATCTCTGTCTTAAGCATACTCAAATATCGCGACATTTGCGCCTTCTCTGAAACGGCATATTCATGGCAGAAAAGAGCCCTCTCCGTGAACATCTTGGTGATCTCCATCACCGAATCAGTTGTCTGCTTAAGCGATATGTATTCCTCTGCCAGTCACTCCCGCTCCACAAGAGGAACATACTCCAGTCGGAACATGTCCAGAAACTGCTCCCAAGTCACTGCACTTTGCTCTGCATGCAAAAAGCCCTGGGTCACAAACTCCCACCAATCCTTCGCACCCCAGCGAATAAGATTCAACACAAATTTCACCTTATGTACCTCGGGACATGAACACGTAAAGAAACATCCCTCCACATTAGAAATCCATCTCAAAGTGATGATCGGGTCCCTATCACCTCTAAACTCCGAAGGCTTCGTATAACTGAACTATCGGTACTGCATCGCCTCGCCTCCCTGAGAACCTGCAATGGCGACGGCTGTGGTGGCTGCGGAAATAGCTACCTATGTGATGACGACATAGCACCTGTCAAACTCCTAGATTAACGTGGTCTTGACCATACCAAACAACTCCATAGTCACCTCCCTGATCGCCTCTACCACTCCCGCAGCAATGATCCCGCAGATCTCCTCCTCACTCAGACCTGCTCCCCCAGTGCCACCAACTCCGGATCCTGAACCTTCAATAGCCGTCATACTGAAAAATACACCATGTAAAGATCAGACATCAAACAAAATTCTCAACATACCAGGCTACCCTCCTATTAGTTCCTTGGTAACCTCAAGGTTCCTGCTGAATCTCATACGGATCCTATGCTTTCAGTAGTACAGGCCCATACTACCTTCCACACCTATTCGTAGTCGATTCAAAATTCATCCCAAGGTCCTAAGTCATTGCACTAGACTACTCTAGGTGTGCTAACACCTACTTCTCCTACGAGCTACAACTAACTTCCTGGGCACTCTTCCTAGGATTATCCTTGCTCCTGCACCATTGGTTGCTTTTGTGCATGCTTGTTGTATACAATACGGGGTCAAATAGATTGTCAAATAATCAACTCTGCCCTAAGTTCAACACCAAACAAGGAACAAGAAGTAAGGCTAAGTCGATCATTCTAAGGCTATTTAATCCCGACCATATACAACTAATCAACATACACGCATCAATCACACAATCAAGTAATATATAGCAAGAAATTCCCTATATCATAAGGCATCACCAGAAGCAGGCACTTCTATCTAACAGTCCCTATAAGAACCCTAGATTATCCACTAGCATGCTTTTCTAACAATTCACATATCAACAAAGTAAAAAATCAGCACATATAACAAGTATGGTTATTTTAGGAACCACTCTCCTGTTCGGGCGTTGGCTTATTGTACACACCACATCTTCTTGTAAACCAAAGTTAAGTCAAGGTCCACGTTCCCGATCCCAAGCCAACAATCAAACAAGAACATGAAAAGATACCGAGCCCATGTCCCTAACCCAACCCTTTTATTATAAGTTTTTTTAAAAAAAAACATTTTTGTGAAAATTCTCAGATCTTGAGACTGGATTCACACAAGTGTTCCTCCAATTCACTAAAACAAGGGCTCTGATACCAACTTGTAACGTCCCATTTTCATAACCAAATTTTTTTATTTTATTAAAGT